ATACTGGATTAGTTACTTAACTACTAGGTGACCAAATGATTCGCTTTATACTTGTTCTCTTCGTCTCATTTCTAACACCAATATTGGTAATACTCCTTGTTCGCCCTCTAGTTCTCAACAACCAAGATTTTGTAAAAAAGTGGTAGATAAGTTCTACACTTATGAAAATGCTTAATTATCATTCAGATATGTTTAGTATTTTCTGGGGAGGAGATCAAAAGAGTCGAATGTGTGGTTCAGTTTAAAGTCTGAAGCTGGAAAATCGAAGCAGAATGTGCGTTATTAAAGTGATTCTCAAAGCAACTGTAAAGAACATATAAATCCGTAATCAATTCTTCATTCACTTCCATTGAAAGTAAATATTGTTTGTCATTTGAAGTTTCAATAATGCAAACATTATATATGTTGAATCTCAACATCTTTTCGTTCTATATTAAACGCATTTATTGCAAATCAAATAATTTGGTCTGAAAGTGCAGATTTTAACCTTTACAATGGACTTATTTATTATCGAATATTTGGTAGTAATTAGAAAGCAATTTAAGAGATTCTGTAAATTAACTCCAAGTAAATGAAACATTCATATCTCAGGGATATGAAGTTTATTCCATTAAAAATTAGTACCACTAGTCAAGTGCTAAAATCAGAAGAGAGTTAATCAAAATAAGATAGTCAGTTTGTACAAGATTTACAAATTGCGTAGTTTCTTTTGACATTGCTTGCAGCTGAGCACCTTTTCAGATGTCCAGCTGTAATGTCAAATGGGCTTAGGTTATAAACCATCCAGCTAAGATTACAAGGCGTGATCTCTGACAAAAGGATGTCACGAGATGGTGTAATATACTACCACTCAAATTGTTCAGTAGCAGTATCTTTTTCTAGTTTATGACACCTTTTGTCAGAGATCACACCTTGTGATCTTGGCTAGGTGGTCACCGACGGATACTCAGTTTACACCACAGTCGGGCAGTTGAAAAACTACTCAGCTATGAGAAATATCAAAGTGAACAATACAATTTGTTAGTTATTTGCAAATTGATCATCCTCTTTTAGGTATGCCGATCCATACAAGTCCATGCATATCCCTAATAAGACTGACCTCAGACTAGCGAAATGGCCGTCTGGTGATTAGATCACTGTGATGTCCGTGGCTAAATCTACAGAACAGCCTGAATGGTTTCTAGCTACCCATTTCATACAGTGTAAACACCTAACCAGTTTTCAAGAAATATAGGTTTCCTGTATACTACAGCTCAACAAGAACGATGCAGTGTGATGTGCAAACGTCAGAATTTATTTAGAATTTCGACCCTCTGCAGTTCATAATAACGATCAAAGAAGACATTTACCACTAAAGAAGCCCTAATAACGTCATAATAAAGCGACCAAACGTTGAGAACTTCGATTTTACTCCATAAAACGTTTGGCTACTATTTATTTCGTTAGTAGTAAAGATTATAGCTCAATTTATTTTTGGAGCACTGAAAGTTATCACTACTGAGTCTTGCACAGCAGTTTGTTGTGATAAGCACTGGTTTATCTAGTGATGACAAACTCACATTCCGAGTACTTAGAGCTATTAACAACACTTGGATTAGGGTGGGATTTAAACCCACAAACCTGCTCAAAGTGAAACTTTGTTGGCTGAAAGATACAGAAGTCAATTAAGAAAATAACCTAATCTATCAGATTGGGAAGCCAAGTAGGTAGGTCAAAACAGCCGATCTGGGTCATCCAGGATAGCAGAGTATAAAAATGTGGCAAGAAATACTAGGATGGCTAAAAATGACTCATAGTCACATTATGGAGCGGGATAGGGTGACATTTCTAAAATCCAATACAGAAGTGATTGATTACAGAATCTTGATTCATTGAGTCTACACCTAACACAGGTAACATGAATGACTCACCACATGATGTGGATATCTGGAAACTTTTACTACTATTAAAATAAACAAATGAACTGTTGGACTGTAGGAAAGTTTTGAAGGTGCATAATTACTTTAATATGAATATGAGCAGTAAATTCTGCTCAAAACATCATCCGGTATATGCTACTGTATCACTGTGTGCCAATAACATAAACAATCCAATATGAAATTCATATTTACTCATATCATTCTCAGTGGTTTAAACAGTCCATAAGGCAAGGCTACCAACTTACATTTTCCCAAATGAGTGTTATTATTTGTTCTAAACCGTCATTCAGACAATAAACGTATGACACGGTTCTATGGATGAAGGGTAGATGTATTGGGTTTGGATGTTTCATGGTTAGGATTCCTTGGGAAGCGGTTGCAATAGTTTATCCAGCCCCGTGGCTTCAGACGTTATGAAATGTGGGGTCAAAACCAACTCACACAACCACCATATTGTATTTCCTCTGAGTTATGTTTTACGAACGATGCGAAATTGTCTTTCACTTATTTTTTTCGCTTCATCTTTACATCTGCATGGTGTTGTCAGATTAAAGTTTCTGGGGATTTTCAATTCCTAATTTTAACCCAGTGTTTTTAAAAACAAAGAAATAAAATAATGGAGTGGGCAGAGACGCATATAGTCTGAATGCATTGATATACTGGAAGTCGTTCACGAGTACTGATTGTTCCTTCATCATTTTACTCTCCACTAAGCCAGTGGAAATATCAGACGAAGAATCTTAGTTAGTTTATTCAGCAAAATAATGTTGATTTAAGAAAAATATCTCCTATGTGCACACAAATATTGAACTAAAACGACTGATTTTTCTTACAGAAGTTGGGAAATGTAGTCTATTGAATTCCAACCTCGTAGATTATAGCGTGCTCACCATGAAACTGACGATCCTAAGTTTAATGTCTCGTGGATTTGTGGGTGTTCACTGAAGAGAAACATCTGCTTAGGACAAAACAGCTATCCGGTGTTCTCAGGTTCTCAATAGTTTTTCATATGGTGTTAGTGTTTGGTGAAAATACCTTCGAACTAGTCAATCGTCACAAACCATTAATTGATTTTTTGCAACTAATTTGTTTTAACCTCAAACTGACTAACAAGCTTGTAGTGAACATTCAACAGCCTAAATCTAATTACTAACCCTAAAAACCTTTATCTAAGTGACTGATGAAGTTATTGAACAAAGTTCCATTTTGTCCTGCAACAAATCAATCAGCATATGAAGAAACATAGCGGTAAGTCATAAGATAGTGGAGTGGAAACGATGATATCCGATTTCGCAGAAGACAGTAGGAATAGATATATTGAATACTACTCCACAACCTACTTCTTCCTTCTTAAAACTAAACAAATAAATAAACAACAGCCTAGTAGATGTATTTCTGTATGCTCATAACAAGAGAATTCAAACTCTGGTAATAATCAGAACTACCGAATGAATATAAACAATTATTTCAAGTCTCAAAGCCAAAACTATTACTCACTGGGATACTGCTACATTTTGCTAACAAGTACTAAGAATTAAGTGACATCCGTCCCTAAATTCACACATAAACGCTATCAGATGGGACACAATTGTCAGATGTACCATAATGTATGCCTATATCTGTGTGATAAAGCGACATTATTATTATCATTATTATTACTATTATTTGTTCCTTGGGTTCCCAGTCGAATATACAGCTTCAGTAGCACATCTACATTCCACTCTCTTCTCCACAATCTTTTGAACCTACCTCCATGATAGACCACAACCTCTCAATTCTCCCTCACACCATCCCCTCCATGTCACCCTCAACTCAGATACCCAACTCCTCGTTTCCACTCTCGATTCCACTCGACTACCTGGCATGACAAGTGATGTATCCAAATCGTCTCCTCACTCCATGCACAATCATTCTCCAATTCCTTCCACTACATACTCGTTCATTGATAGCTTCTTGGTTGCTTCGTCACCAGCCACAATTCCTTGTTGCTTATTCCAACTATTCTGAACATCTGATATTCAGTAACGAGCCAGCCTAGACAATGGTTGATGAATATCTATAGTTTGTTCGAAATACTTATCGTAATGCCCAAAATCTCTCAACCATCACACAGAACCACTGACTTACTTCACTGGATTTGTGTTCAAAATCCAGATCTTGTTCATGCTTCATGCTGAGTGCAGTGCAGAAGATCTCCACACTGGTTTCCGACCAATGAACATCTGTCTTGCTGTCTTTCTGATCCTGGCTGGTTTTGACGTCTTCGTCTGTGCCACCAGCACCTGTAGTTGAAACGATGTTGCTTAGGAAGGTGGGTGAAAGCGGCTACTTCCTTTGTGTTTGTCCAGTTGATGGTGATTGGAGCTTGTTGTTGTTGTTCGTGACATTGGTTTGGTATCTTCATCACTTCTGTCTTCTCTATATTCACTTGAAGTCCTGTATTCTCTGCCTCACCTCTTCTGTCAACTTGTTCAATTTTGCTTGTAGATCTCCAAGTTTGTGTGACATTAGTCACAAGTCATCGTTGGCGAAGTCCTAATCTTCTAGGATCTTTTCCACAATCGAGCGTATCCCCCTCTTCTCACTCCTCACTGATTGTTGCATGATCCAGTCCTGTTGACCACAATCAGGAATATCATGGGTGATAGTAGGTGGCAGCCTTGTCTTACTCACGTCTTCACGATATGGAACTCCAAAATTGTGTTTCCGAAAGTTTTATTTCAGTTTTTGTGGTATCTCAATAATTACTATTTGCCTTGACTGTACTATTATGTAAACGGAAAACTGGCATGAATGAAGGGATTAGTGAAACCTGCAAGGAATCAGTAACACTAAAAATGGGAAAAATAGTGGGATACACCCTTTTCACAGGAGATGCTACCATATTTCTTCAACACTTATCAACATAAAATCATGAACGTATTTGACACAAGTAAAGGAAGATTTAAGTAATTCTTGAGAATTCATAAAACAAAATATACAGTTTTTTGAAAACCAAAATATAATAAAATTGAGTACTCGAGTATACGAAATTTGTTTGGTTTTTTTCTAATACGGATGTGTCTACGCTTTCACCGCACCTCATCGCCGATAATATTCATCTTCTGTTAATGGAATCGGCTTATCCATGTCATGAAACTTGCACCCGAATTCAGCCAATTGTTGCATATGACACCAACTTGGCTGCATAGGTATACAGACTTTTCGCATATACATCCAGGCATCCTAAGCAAATAGAGTTAAACAAGAACAAAAATGCAGTGGAGCAATCAAATGCCAGAATGTTTACTATAAAGCTGATTGAATAAAATAATTTAGGAGCTAGTGGCGTAACACACTTGCTTATCTTGTAACAGAAAGTCAAGTTAGAAACAGATTTGCTTTTCCCTGAGTGTGGAATGGTAATAATAATCGTCTCATTTCAAATAACAAGTATAACATTATGGAATTCTCAGCATGTAATTTCTCAAAAGATTCACTCCCAGAACAATACTTTCAGATGAAATGGTTATTGCATAGGAATGAATTTAATAATATCACTACTGAAGGCAACAGTGTGAAATGGCCAGCTGGTTCTGGGTGGTCATCCGGTCCATAATAAAGAATCAACAGAAATGCAAGCTTAACTTTGGTGGTGGCGGTTCATTCAGACGGTACAAAAATCTATAAATCAAGCTAATCATCTGACAAATAGAAATATGATATGCTTTTATGTGCTGAAAAGTCCACTTCCATATGATGTAACATTTTTTCTCTTCTTTTTTATTGACTCGAGAAACAGAAAATTGAAAACATTTTAAAAATGTGCAAGAGTACATGATACGTCCAAAGGACACATTTAAATGATTAAAACAAACTGAAAGGAAAGAATCTGGTGAAAAATGTTCGAGAGTGAAATTTGGTAACCTAAGGTTCAAGCAGGCAGCCAGAAGGTCTACTATCAAATTTCATTACATTGTCACTAAACAATGTTAGTGAAGTTAGTACTGATGTTAAAAATTCCACAATGGAATGTTGGAACTCAAAATAGAAAACACTGAAACTTTGTCATCTTCACTATTGATTAAAGATCTCTTTAGTGATGTGAAAACTTTCGTTCGAATTCTCAAACATATATATATATATATATATATATATATATATATATATATATAGATGGATAAGTTGGAAAGTTACAGACACATCCAAAAACGATGCACTTAATTATTCTAATTATTGTCATCCATCTTCAGGGCTTATGGAAAACTCCTAAAAAGTGTTACTTTAAAAATTCCTACTCAGTTCATTCTTCTCTGAGGTTACAAGAAAGCATTAGCACTGATCTTTCATCAAAAATATTGATGCCTTAAAAGATTTGGTTCAGTATATTAACCGATCACTACATATTACTACTCCTGGGTACATGACGCTTTGATTTACTGACAAAGTCAGAGAATTCAACATCAAAGCAAATGTCAGTCACTATTAAATAGTTAAAAGAGGAGGGACAGAAATTTTGTGGATTACCGAAAATCCTTTAACTGGTGTCATTCTCATTGCTTATTAACTTCTGAGGCTACCTAACAAAGAACTGTTGTAGTTTTCTGATGAGTAACGTTATGTAAAAAAGTAGTAGGTAAAGATATCTTGCATAACCAACCTAATCTACACGGTTATATTTGCGAAAACAAAACTTGATAAAGCTTGCTACATCTAAGTTGCTAACAATACAAACGAATGCTATAAACTGCATAAAAACACTGATCAGTTAGCCTATTTAGGGACTGTTCAGAGTAAGTGGTTCATTTTAAGTCCATTCTTCTTACTATAAAACATACTAAGCTATCATCCAAATTTGCCTTATTGTTATCGAATACTACCCAGGTGTACGTTGCTTGCAAACTCTCTTCAAATTTAGACACTGTAATGATTGGTAGATCAAACTCAGTCAGTACAAATGTAGGAAATTAATCATCTATGATTTACTTCGTTTAAAAGAAACTTCTACCTCGCACCATATCTATATTTAATCGATTGTCATAAAAGAATCAGATAGCTGTTATCTTCAACAGCCATAACTTATTCTCACAGAATGTATTAGAACCATCCTGAATGCAGCAATTTAATTCAAAATTTAGTTTACTACTTTGCCGAGAAGAAACTTGGATATTCTAAATTTGGAACTATTTTGCATTCATTTAGTCAATGTTAAACCAGAAAAAGAGTGTAGTAATTACACAATAATGTCAAATCACTCAATTGAATAGTTATAATGAAAACGTAACTGATAGAAGTCGGTCAACACTGATGATTGAACAATGCAATATTCATTACATTTCAATGGCTGACATAAATAAAAAGAAAAAGATCTCCATTTTAAACCATTCAATGTTGATTTCTATGACAATAAGAAAGTTAATCAAAGCCATACGATATATTTGTAACAGTCTTAATTCATATACGCTTCTCAGAAAACCTATGAAACATTTGTTGCCTTCTGCACATTTGAAGTCTAAATACGATTTAAAACAAGAAACTAGTTTGATAAAAGCAGAATTTAATGAATTCTTAAATATTAGCAAATTTCACCAGCTAGATACTCTAAATAAATGATTCTATGTACTATGATGCAATGAAAGAAATCAGATGCATATGAATAACACAACTGAGACATCAGATGAAATGAAGTAATATGGAAATAGGCAATTTTTACAGGTCTGAAATTGATTCAAAAGCTGAAGTGGATGTTAACATTGAAAAGAATAAAGGTATATAACATTATTCTAAAAGAGTATATAATCAAATAAAAAGTTAAAGTTAGGGAACCATAAGGATTTTCGATGAATAGATAATGATCGCAATAATTGAAAGTGTTGAAAATTAGGATGAAAAGTGAAAACGTTATAGATAGATTACGTTATTCCGAATAGAATAATTGTTAGTCAGTTAGAAGGCTTGTTAACAATTTTCAGTTAAGCACCATGTATGATAAAGTACGTAGAGTTGATTTCTCTAAAACTTCACCAGTTCATTAAATCATGCTTGCTTCACTCATTTTTCCTTCTTTTTTTATTGTACAACGAAATGAAGGTTGGTAAATCCAATTTCATACTTATCTATTTTTCAAACTAACACTTTAAACAATATTTACGTGTAAGCTTACTATAGAAAAACTTTCAACATAGTACTTACCATTATATAATAGTTACTTTTTTGAAACTCATTATTATTATTATTTGTCCCTTGGGTTCCCAGTCGAATATACAGCTTCAGTAGCACATCTACATTCCACTCTCTTCTCCACAATCTTTTGAACCTACCTCCATGATAGACCACAACCTCTCAATTCTCCCTCACACCATCCCCTCCATGTCACCCTCAACTCAGATACCCAACTCCTCGTTTCCACTCTCGATTCCACTCGACTACCTGGCATGACAAGTGATGTATCCAAATCGTCTCCTCACTCCATGCACAATCATTCTCCAATTCCTTCCACTGCATACTCGTTCAGTGATAGCTTCTTGGTTGCTTCGTCACCAGTCACAATTCCTTGTTGCTTATTCCAACTATTCTGAACATCTGATATTCAGTAACGAGCCAGCCTAGACAATGGTTGATGAATGTCTGTAGTTTGTTCGAAATACTTATCGTAATGCCCAAAATCTCTCAACCATCACACAGAACCACTGACTTACTTCACTGCATTTGTGTTCAAAATCCAGATCTTGTTCATGCTTCATGCTGAGTGCAGTGCAGATCTCCACACTGGTTTCCGACCAATGAACATCTGTCTTGCTGTCTTTCTGATCCTGGTTGGTTTTGACGTCTCCGTCTGTGCCACCACCACCTGTAGTTGAAACGATGTTGCTTAAGAAGATGGGTGAAAGCAGCTACTTCCTTTGTGTTTGTCTTGTTGATGGTGATTGGAGCTTGTTTTCGAAACTTATACTTGAAACTAATGATATGTAAAAATAGTGCTATTTTCTTTGAAAATTTAGAGTGAACAGGAAGTCTTGGTTTTTAATAAGGTTAATGGGGCACTTATTCTAACTAGAAATCAATCAACTGTGCAGTTGGATGTAAGTGTACTTTTCTTTTTGGATTTCACTCATATTTGGGTTTAGGTAGTAATAAGGATCAATCGGTATTTAACAGATGGATACAGTCTAATCCATATGAACTTTACATAGACGTATAGAAATTTCAATTAATAATTTATAGCTCACTTTTAAAGACATGGATTCATACTTCATCAGATAACCGATAGCTATCCCCACAGAACGGTCAATCATACGTTTAGAAAATATTAGAACCCGGTGTCCTCGTAATCGTTTTTCGTCTGAAATAATGTAAGTTTTTTCATGAAGAAAAAATTTAACTTCAATACAAAAAAATTTTCCAGTTACCGATAATCACAGCAAACAAAGGTAATGTATACTTAAGTATGAATAAAAGACAAGACATGCTACTTCCCCTGAACATTTGATGAAAGTTAGGAAGTGCAAAACAGTTGATGTATCCCATATCAAAACTCCTCACCACTATGATTATGTGATTCTCTTCATCAGGTCAGCAAAACGTGAATCACATAGTACTACAGATAGACTAAAGTTCAGAAGTTATGAGAACTCTGACATGGCAGATACAAAACCAGATGGTTATCAGTCTGATTCCCAAGGGATTTTAAATGTGTAAAACTTTTCAGAGTTTGGAAATGCAGATGTTTATTACTGCCCATTTTCTACTTCAAGAGGGAAATGATTATCATCAACAATCCTTAGATAAAATGTACCAACTAGAAAATAGGCACTTCTATCATTCACATACAGAACGTCTTACAAATTATGTGGTTCTCTTTACTGGACTTTTAATATTTAAGCGGGTTAATCTTTTTCAAGCCTCAAATCGTGTTATTTTCTTCCAAGTTTACCAGGCGAAATTAATTTGAATCACTACCTAACTGAAAATTGATAACTCAAGTAATAGTACTTAAAAACTGGTAAAAAAATTCTTTTATCTTTAAATGTCACAATAAATTTTTATGGATAAATTATTTTATATGATATCCTTATGGTTAATATTTTTGTAAGGATGAAAATACTTACGGATGTGTATTTATTTATTTGTCGAATATTTCTATCATATACAATCAAATAAGTAATACGGACTGAGAGATGCTACTCATACTGATTTTAGTTTACAACAATGCAGATGATATCAGTCCTAATTCTAGAACATTTTTTCAATCCTTTAATTCTGATAAGCTGACAGTCATATCTCTCGAATAAATAATATACAAACACACAGATCAACATGGGACGTCAGATAAAAGTGTATCACTTCAAGTTACCCTACTTTAAAGTAGTATGTAAAGAAATGGGGGATAGAAAACAAATGAAGGAACGGTTGAAAAATGTTTATTCGAAGGGAGAGCATAAACAGATAAAGAATAATGAAAAATGTCCAAACTTTCGAAGTTAACTAGCAGCATATAACATCTCTGTCATTGTGATAGATTTTGAGCCATGTGACTCATTTTTGTTGCCTGTCGTGGACCTCATGAGCAACACGTGTCCAAACCATCCTATCAACAGAAGGTTAAAGATTCAATATCTGACTTATCTTTCTTGGTTAGTATCTTGTGTCTAACCTTAACACTGTTCACATAGTGATTCCTTCACGTGTAAGCAATGTGATGAAAACATCTGGAGTCAAAAATTTATTAGATCTATACATCTACTTTCAATGATCATGTCTCACATCCATGCGATAGGACGGAATGGAATGCAATACGGGATACTTGTCATGAATACCTGAGTGGTGAAAGTGGTCAAATGTAAAATCGACCTTATGAATCCAAGCAAACATTTTGCCAGCAATTAAACTGTTCCTCAGAAATGAATAATATAGCCATCAACGTTTTCGATCACCTAAATTTGGTTAGGGAAATCGTACAGATAGAGAGATAGAAAATCTTTTGGATTGTTCAGTAATCAAAGTTTGATTCTGACACTAGCAAGTATATTCAGAGCAACTTTTAAATAGCAGTGAAGCTGAACAATTTTTCTGCAAACTGTACTACTTCAAATTTGAATTGTCATTGTGGTGAACTAAATTTCCTCATTTAATTCATCAGCATGCAGCTTATCATGAGAATTTTTTTTCAGTTCAAAAGTGCAATGTCTAATCACAAGAACATCAAACCACCTAAAGCGTAAGCAACAGTTACTTTATCTTGATATAGTTTCAAAGTCAGCTGTTTCAGTTAGAGACATCAGTTTGTAAGATACAACAATCATATTTCCTCAGACTGCAGAAGTGACGGGCCATATTTGCGTTCAAGACATACAATTAATAGCTAGTAGTAGTCAAAGTAGAAACATATTATTCCTCACCATCTAGAGGAATTTTATTTGAGACACAATTGTAACTTAAAATTGATCTTAAAATCCCTCCCGATCACCCTTATTTGATTGTATTGACATTTATTTTAACATTTTTACCCTCGTTATGTATGGTGTACCTTTGACCCTCGCCGGTGTAATGTTATTTGCTTGTTTAACTGTCTTATTTGACTTTACACTCGGTATTTGCCTTTGTATGTTTGAGACTTATTATGAGTGTTTCACTTTCCTATTATGTGACGCTGGACTGTTGATAAGGTGATGTTGTTTTACTGCGCACGACATTTTGTTTTGGTTCAACTTACGGTTGTGCAGTGATTTGACTGTTTGTCTTTTGACTGTCTACTGGGAACGTTTGTTTGTTGATTTGATTCCTGTAGGCAGAGTTTTGATCCCTTTTGCCGGGAATATTCCTATTGACCGACAGGTACTCAACAGTTGTACTTGTTTAACCAGTTTTTACCGTGTAGTACGTATTTGTACCCGAGAACGTTTTGGACTGTATAGTTACCTAACGGCACTGTTGAGGTATTTTTGCAATTTTGACATAACTTATTGTTGCTTTGATAGTACCACAGACTTTGTTACGGATCTACTATTGAATTACTACAAACCGTGTTTTGATATTTTGATCCAACCTTTGACTGTGCGTCACTCGCGGAAGTTAGGAAGCTATACAGTAGGACGCAGGAACTAATCAGATTCACGTCAGCTGGCACCGCCTAGTTATTTCCCGCGTTCAGGCCAAGATTATTGGATTCTGGCCACTAAAACAATCACTTGAAATCTGCCACTAACTTCAAACACAAACCCTTCCACCAACTAAAGTAGCCTCAGATCTAGAATTTAAGTGTTATGCAGTTTTATTGGTTGCCAAAGTTAGACACATTGAATAAGATCAATACCAGAAAGACAAAAATCAAGAAGCACTTTGAGAGCAGCTACAGAAGTAGTTACTTGAGGGTTCAGCCATGCCTGGTGATTTACTCCACGCTGAGAACTTTCTTAAGCAAGACAATTACAATTAGTACAGTTTCTTCCTTACAACTTCCAGTTTAAATGACAGCAACGATCATTAAGTGTCTAGTTCTGCCCACTCCGATTAGCTAGAAGTGCTTATCGATATGATTAAACCTAACTGATAACTTTGAAAGGATTATAATTTAGGGATTCAACATTGTATTGGCCAAAGAAAACTATAATGGAAAATCTGTCTCGTTCACTTTAGTCATGTAATTCGCACCAGAAGCTTCGAATCCTACAAATGTTTGTTTTCAATTAATAATTCAGTTAGTATGTAATGTTTCATTCTCGATAACTAGATGTCGATCATAAGTTTACATTCAGTCATTACCTACAGGATTTCCGTAAACCCTAAATCACAAGTTTATAAAACGTTTTAAGAACTAAGGAAATTTAGAAAGGAACATTTATGCTGATGTGTATACTCTCTCTAAACAATCCTCCTACGTTCTGCTAATCTAGTCGAGCAAAACGTCTAGCATTATATGCATGCACAAGGACTGTAGAGAAACATCACTTCAGAAGTAGGTATGACTATATTACAAATGGACGGCAGATTTGTCATTTTCCAGGGATAAAATAATTTACTAGACTACTTTGCCCCATACGTAAACGATGTGTTGGCAAAAAACAACTTAGTTCTCTACAAAAAATAAAATCAAATAAACTTACGAATAAAATCACAGGCATCATCTAGAAGTGGTAATAAATCACCATTTTCATCCCTTGATGTTTGAGCACTAAACACAGCATCCTCACAATCTTGATATCTATTAGGATTAAAAGCAAGAAAGGCTGATCACTTACTCATAATAAATCTTTCCCATGTAAAATCACAGGCACGCCTTTACTAAATTGAAATCAATCAGTCAATCCAGAACCTGGCAGAGTGTGAATATTTGGTCAACGCACCCACGAATAGATTTGAAGGCTACCTGGTTTACTCGGGTTTGCTGTTCCCAAGTTCCATTCAGACGTCTAATGATTATAGCACCTAGAATCGTAGACATTATGTTCATCAAGCTGATTCCTCTGTAGTTATCACAAGAAAACTTCTCGCTTTTCTTGAAGACCGACATAATCAATGATTAGAGCAAGTCAGAGGGGAACATATTTGACTACCATGAACTAGTTAACAATCCAGTTAACTTGACTAAAAAAGACTCAACCACCATCTTTATATGTATTCTCTTGCACTTATTGATGAATAGTTAAAAAACACTAAGGACCGTCTAAAGGTGCAGTGAAAAACCTTACCTTTAGCAATGAACCGGCAGCCTGTGTTCGATAACGAACAGTAGAGCACAGTATGATAAGTTGTGTTATTCAGAATGCGAATGTCAACCACGGGAATTACACTCATCACTTATAAGTCCAATGACCTTAGCGTGGGAACTTACATCCTAGATTGGACTACAAAGAGAACTCTCATCAGTGCAAGCAGCTAAAATATCGTGGTTCAAAGTCATGTTTGCGAACATCAATTTCTGGCATTTCTTAATGAAAGCTTACACCTATAATATGTATTTCCGACTTTCAGAAAAACTAAAAATCCCAATTAATAATTTCAGATAAGAAACAGTTATCAAATGTCTCATTGTGTAATGCTTTAAATCATTCAGAAAGTGAAGCACAATTTTTTCTGTATGACGACTAAACTCGCTACATATTGCGATCAATGAGAATTGTATAAGCTAATTAGACACCAAACCTTTTAGGAAAAAGGTGACCCAATACTGCCTGAATATTTATTATGCTGTAGTCTATTCTCTGGTGGCTAGCAACGGGATCTAGGATTCATTTTTCTTCCTATTTGGAAGTCATCATCCGGACGTGCTTGCACCCCAGTGACTGACACTGTTTCCACTTGGTCTAGAACTCAGTACGCATCTCTTCAAACGCCCAAGCGTTATCCACCAGGCCATGGAAGCACGGAATCCCCCCTCTTGTGCAATGGGTATGAGTTCTCGGTCGTAGCAACAGGAAGTTACTTGCATCAATTGACGATTCCCGAAAAGGACAAAACCTACGTCCTGGATTCCACTACTAGCCATCACCAAGTAAGCCAAAACAGATAACCGTTTAGTTTCTACCACTAACACTGTGTAAATATGTTTCTCATTTACAAACACAACTTAAAAACAAAAGGAATCCCACGGTGATTATTATAATTATTTGTCCCTTCGGATCCTGGTGGAGCATGGGGTTTCAGTAGCACTTCTCCACTGCACTCGCTTCTTTTCAGTCTTTTCGACCTGGCGCAACATCTCCCCACAAGCTTTCATTTATTCTTCACATGATCTCCTCCATGTGACCCTCGACTCGGACGCCCAACTCCTCTGCCCTCCGGTGGATTCCATCCGAGGGCTTGAGACGTGATGTCTCCGAAAGGCATTCTCAATGTATGCCCAATCCATCTCCACTTTCTTCTGCATATTTGTCCAGCAATGGGTTCGTCGTTGCTTCAATACCAGCAAGCGAGCCAGACAGCCAGCCAGAGTTTCTTGTTGCTTATTATAGTGATTATTATGATTATTATTATGGCCACCTGATCTTCACCATCGAGACAGCGCAAGCGGCAACTATTCACGAATGTCTGTAGTTTGTTGGAGGTACTTTTCGTAACACACCACCAAGTCTCTCAACCATCACATAGAAACACTGACTTACTTGACTGAATCAGTGTTGAAAATTCGGATGTTGTTGTACCTTTATCCTGAGTGTAGTAGATCTCCACACTGATTTCAGATCAATCAAACTCCGTCTTGCTGTATTGCCAATTCTGGTTTCAACACCCTCATCTGAACCTGTGCCATCTGTAGTTGAAACGATGGTGCCTAGGTAGACAGGTAGGTGAATAAGACAACTTCCTTCAGATTATGCCCGTTGATGGTGATTGGTGCTTGTTTTTGTTGTTTTCGGTGATGGTGTTGGTGGTGTTCGAGTATCTTCATCACTTCCGTCCTCTCCACATTCACTTGAAGCAAGTCCCATCTTCCTTCGCCGCCTCGCCTCTCCTGTCAACTTGTTTGAACATGCCTGTAGGTCTTCGAGTTTGTGTGATATTACACATAATTCATCATTGTGGGTGAAATCCAAATCTCCTTCCGAGGTCTTTTCATCGGTCTTCTCAAACAGTGTGTGCCTCTCTTCTCGCTCCTCACAGTTTGTTGCATGATCCACTCCACCACAATAGTGAAGATCGTTGGTGATAGTAGGTGGTAGCCTTGTCTTACGCCTTCCTGTCATCACTTCACTTCAAAGGTGTCACTGAGCTCTCCATTGTGAATCACTCGACATGTAGCATCATCACCGTCATATAGTAGTTGAATGAGATCGATAAGGGTTAGTGGTACTAAAAGCGTAGTGATGAAGCAGCAGCTGTCAAGTAACTTGTCGGTCGACGCTACTGAAGGCCGGCTTTTTCAAAGTTGATGAAGTTGAGGTGGAGTTGTGTTGACTGGCATTCTATACTCTGTTCTATGATGATGTGTAGAGTGGCGTTGCAATTTGATCCGCACATGATTTGTTCTTCCTGAAGCCAGTCAGCCAACCTGTTCCTGTCGTAGTTTGGAATCCAGCGCATCCTTTAGTCTCTCCAGGATGATGTGGACTAATATTTTGCTTGGGGTGGACAGGAGTGGAGCATGATTCCGCATCAGTTCTTGCGAAGACTTCGGTCTCCCTTCTTTGTGAGTTTGACAAGGTAGCCCCTCTTCCAACGAATCGTCAGGCACATTTCCTTCCTTCCTTCCTTCCTTCCTTCCTTCCTTCTTTCCTTGCAAACCTTGTGCATTAGTGATTTGAGCATGTCCTCCGTTGTCTCTGCGTTTGTTCTCAGTGCTTCTGTTGGAATTCCATCTGGTTCTGCTCCTTCCCCGGATTCAAGCAAGTTTATGGCGTTGAGGACTTCACTTCTGGTTTTGTTGGAGTGCTTGTGCTCACTGGTAATTCTGTGGCTGGTCTGTTGGTGGTATTTCTGGATGAGTTGCAGGTGGTGACGGTGGTGATGATGGTGTTCGATTCAGGAGTTTTCTGAAGTGGTCAGCACACTGTTTCCTTTGTTCCTCCTCTTTGCTAACTAGCTTTCTTTCCTTCACTCTCTCTCTCTCTCTCGCTCATTGGTTTCATCTACGTTGATCTCTTCCCTCACAGATAGTAACCTGGTTATTTGATATAATGTTTTCAAGTCTCTAACTCTCCTACCTGCAGCCTGTTCTGCTTCACTTGCCAATGTGTCGTAGAAGTGTCTTTTGTCTTTTCACACACCCTTCTTCACCTCTCCGCCCAGTGTAGAGATTTATGGGTTGTGTTCACTTCCTCTTTTCGTTGTTCATCCCTTCACTGAACTGCACTGCACTGCAATGCACTGCACTGCACTACTTCATCTTCTGCTTCACCATCACCATCACCATCTTCCTCTCCGTGCTCTATCAACCTCCATGTGTAGGCCAAAATCCATTCCTTCTTTTGCTTCTTCTTCCTTCCCAATACGGTTATGCAGGTTTCTTTCCACATAACTTTCAAAGATTTCCGGTGTTTTTCCATGGAGATTTCCTAGAGGATGTTGCTGAATACCTCTCATTTTGTCCTGATCACTGAATGACGTGTAGATGTCCATTGTAGTTTCGCCATTCAGTTCACTTTCTGTTCTGCGTGTTCAACTTGAACTCTGGTCTACCACCAACTTCCTTCAACTGAAGGCTTTCAACTTGATTTTGAAGGCGGGTTCCTTGCACCAGATAGTGAGTGGTGTGAACCACCTAAATCTGCTCCCCTTCTTGATCTGATATGATCTGACACAATATTGTGTGCAGTAGGCTGCGTCCACACTTTCTTCACATTGAGATGAAGTCGATCTGAAGTCGATTTTTAGTGTCTCCTGATGTCTGGTGAAATCAAATCCATATCGCTGCCTTGTGAATATCTTTGTGTTTGTACACATTGCCTCCAATCATCAAATCGTTCAGTGCACAGAATTATGCAAACAGTTCTCCATTCTCGTTCATCACTTCACTCAGTGCCTCACTGCTTCTCCACCCATGATGAGTTCTCTTCCTGAGTTGTTCACTCCCAGTTTGGCATTCGTGTCACCTCACCCATTAGAATTTTGATGTCGCCAACTGTGGTGGAGTCTTGTCCATTACTGATTGCAGTATTATGTAGAATTCCTTCCTCTTCTCTTGATCCGCATTAGTTGAAGGTGTGTAGTGTAGTATTGTATGATTGTGAATTTCCTACCTTTTCAGTTGAATCCATCTTGCTGTCAGGATCTTGATCCTAGAGAAGATTGGTTCTTACTGCATGAGGGCCTTCGATGCTCTTGGGGACATCATGATAGCCACTCCTAAACTCAGTGTGCTTGTGGTTGTCGTCCGGGTAACAATATCGGTGTAGACTCTTGACTCTCCAGTTGACAGTTTGGAGAGTCCACTTCCATTCCATCTGCAGAATCCTCGCAGATTCCTAGCGCTTCTTTACTCTATCTTCTCATCTCCTTTGCAATCTGGGCAGCCTTGCCAGCCAGTCAGCTTTGAACATTGCGCTGACATTCCATGTCCCTAATCTTACTCTCACTTTGATTGAGAGATGTCACATCGGCCAATTGTCTTCCCGAAGGCCTTCACCAACCGGTGTCATTTCGTCTCCCTGTTTCCAGTGAGGAATAAGTTTATTTTTATCTTTTATATTTTGTTTATGCTTTGAAGTTTCTTTAGCGATTGGATTGGTTTTACTGGGTAGGGTTTGCTAGCCCTACCTTCAACCTTCCTTCTTTATCCGGGCTTGGACCGGCTAGTAACTAGTGAACTTGTTAACCAGGCGACGTTATTTCCACGGTGAATACACCCCGAATCTAGTCGTTTATATAATTGATGAGTTAACTATGATGAGCACATTCACTACTAAATTAGTTGTAAAGATTTAGATCGATCTCCTTACAGACAAAGGACAAAGATTTGAAAGGCCTTTAATTAATATTCAGAATCAAATTTTTGTTTATTTTCATAATTTCTCCTAGTGCATATAATGCGATCGATCGACCAATAAAAACAGTGGCGGTAATATGATATCAACAACAAATTTCGAATCTACAATTTTCAATCAACTGGCAAGTTTTTTCGCACAAAAACCAGACATTCAAAGATTGCAACTATTGGGTAGGCTAAAATCTGCAACCGACAACTGCTTCGAATAAAAAAAACACTAATCTCTCAGAAACTTCAGTGGTATCATCTACATTAATTACTTCTGGAAGATGCCCTTCCATAATATTCTGTGATAGTTATATAATCAAATAGAAGGCAAAAGTGTCAGTCAACGCAATTATGACTTAATAGTTTATTCATATTTTTCTGTCACAGAGATATGAAGGCATTCAGTTGGATTTCGCATAGACTGATGACATGCGGTGACATAAACTCATCGAAAACTGTTTCAGTGCTGTCTACTCTCCACCACACATTCACCTCCTATCAGTCTTTAGTTGAAACGAACTCTACATAGGTCAGCTTCCCACAAATCATTCTCTGAGCACAATGGACCACTTACAATCCATTGTATCATTATGCATTGAGATAAGACAATGACAGACTGTTTCACAAACAAATAACTTTAAAGTAAACTTACATAGGATCACTCTCCATTTCACAGTTAATATGAGCCGAAATATTCATCTGTCTGTGGATTTTACGATCTCCAGCATGTTCCTTTGTTCCAATGTATAAAATACCAGGGACAACTTCCAATGGATAGGTAGTGAATGATTCAAGTTCCTGAAATATAGAATATGGTGATACTCATTTAGTGTAGTACGGTCGAATGGATTACAACTCTTGCATGGAAATGACTTCTCTGAAGTACTTCAATTCAAGTATGCACAGAAAGCGTAAAACACTAAATTATGCTGGCTGCTCCAGCTTCATTTTCATCATTCTACTGTCGAGCAATACCGCTGCAACTGCATCAGTTCAAAGGTGAAAGAAAGCATATGTGAAAGGCATAAGAACGATTCGTTTTTATCAATAGTCACTAGACATGACATGTTTTGCATGCAACAGTCATGAACAAACAAGATTAAGGAGTGCACAGACTGGCCACCAGTAGGTGATAGATATAGCCGTCGATTGCTTATTGCCCAACACTGACTGATATCTCTTCGTCAAGTTCTTAATATGGCCACTAGGCTAAGTATCGCAGGTTTCAATCAGCGAAGAAACAGCAAGTTCTTCACAAGTGCAGATATATCTTGCTGATGAGTGACAACAAGCACAAAACCTCGAACCAAAATTTCCTGCCAGCTGTCTCTCAACAATTTGTACCTAAAATCAAGGATAAGTTTGAATGCCAATACGTGGAACTGAATCCAGTCACAATACAGTTTGACTTATTATTCCATGGCGAGTTAACCGGCACTCCAATGTGGCAGCGTACAATGAGGAATAGTTATTACATACGTTGCACATACAAAGTCACTCTCATCTGCTTTAGCATCGGAGGCTGTCTGAAGTACAAGTGAGAGATAAAAGAAGACAGGTATGAAGGAAGGAAAGCATATTGTCAACCAGCGGGACAGTAGTCGTTAAATATGGAACACCTTGCACTAAAACCGTCATTTTCAAAATTTGCTTCATTTCCTCTTCTGCCTCTTTCTTGAGTTGCTCTTCATACGCCTGCCTTGTCTCTTGCATTTCTCTTGGCAGAATCCCTACCCATTGCTGGTAATTCCCTATGATTTCCGTCACCCTCTCAACATATACTAATGTCCATTCTTATCAGCAACGCCCACTACACAAGTACACAAGAAGCAGCTTAAGGACAGCCAACCAAAGCATAGACTTCTTCATCATGAGCAAACCGTGTGAAGGACACGGAGCTTCGTACCTATAGCTACCTAGGTATCAGAAGCGTGTGCTCAAACATGTTACTTGTCACAGCTACTGATCGACGCCGTTATTGAGAATGGACGCCTTCTTACTTTAAAAGCTAATAATTTCTTTGCATGAATCAGTTGTTTGATCTACACTTCTCTCTCATGACCGCTATATAGTTCAACCTTATCATTCTTATTCATTCTATTGATGACACTTGCTGCGTTACCCAGAATTCTGCCAACTTAGATGAGTCACTGTTGTTTGATGACATACATGGATGAAATATGACTGCGATAGGATAAATCTAAACAATCATGATGAGATTTGGATTTCGTGTGCCCTGAATGCGCAATAATAATACTTCCAAATGAGATACACGCTACAGGATGTAATTAAAAGATGGACTGAATTGTTCGATATTCATTTTACATTGGCAAAATTAAACTCAATACTGATGTCATATTGTTACATATAATATTTGCAAAGATATAAACTGAAAGTTTTCAAAGTAATCTGATCCTTTATTACCTTAATATAAGTTCTGCAAACCTAAAAACTTAGGCTTATGAGAGTAGCTATCTGCTGAAACGTAGTTAGGAGTAGGTGGCAATTCTTACAGTTTTCAACTGCTGTTTGACTCTTTGAGAAAACACTGCTTACAAATCGCTTAATACATAGTTGCTAGCGCTTCTCGGACAACGCCCTGAAGACCCCCTCTCTCTCAAACACGCAAAATTTTGGATTTATCACCTCACCTGTGATCTTTAATTATTTGAGGGACAAACATACCTACACTCAATTGTTCATCTTCAGCATTTAAATGTTAGGTATTTGCAGTCTGTGTATACACTCTATAGTACTCTTGACACGTCTCAAAAAGCAGTTTTAGCAGTATCGTCTCCGTACAGTAGAAAATAGATCCTTTGAAAATCACCTATCTACAAATAATTATGAAACTGAAAATACCATAATGAATGACGTCGTCCACTGAAAATTGATTTATTTCTCACCCTAGTCCCAACATCATTATAATTATTCTCATGGTTGCCATTATTGTTTTCTCACCCGACATCCTCCTGATCCTTTGGACTGCACTACTAACCAAATTCATATTTGATTTCGAAATTCGTTTTCAACCTATTCAATTTGGACACCCACTCTTACGTTTCTCATTACCATCCGACCTGTAAACATCGTTCATTTCTACATCGTTACACTTAAATCGATATCACAGTCTACCTTATACATGAGTGTATGTATGCATATCCTTTTCCATTGTTTAGAGGTATATGGGGTATCCAACTGACGAGTTCTACTAAATTTTTAGAATTGATTAAATCCGACGTTTTCCACATTCATCGCTTGTTTCAAATTTGTATCAGGAAACAAATGCTTTCAGTGTAGCATCAGTTCAACTATACAAGCAGCCTCATCATCACTTGCTTGAAGATTCTTCCTGTCCCAACACTTGATAGGTAATTCAACTACAACATAAAGTTAGTATTCTACTTTGTTTGGTCTTACGAAAGGCTTTATTATCAAAGACAAGGTCTACACAATTCTGTTGGAACAGACAGAAAAACAACCGATTGACCAATGTTCTCCGAATATAATGTGAACTAAGTATTCATCCTTAACAGTGATCACAGTGTCATTCGCATTTGGTTGATCAATTAATAACCATATTTAAATGGTTGTGTTGTTGATATTTTGTTATTAGTTCAATTGCTAACCAATGTCTGAGAAGACAACTTTTCTTTATTGAACTTGAAAGTTATTCTCAATGTCCACCTTCTCCCGAAGCAGTAAAGCTTGTCTTCCCATTATTGTCTTCGGTCTAACAGTAGTTTAGGGACGGTATCCCAGTAATCAATGTCCGTTATTGTATGACAAAGTGTTAAGGGCGCATAACGATAGTTCCTACTTCATGACCCATTAGTTATCGGAAATCCCACCCCCAATCGAGTATTATGCGGCCACATCGTGTTCTTAAACCTAGTCGGACTGGAATTAATTGAAGACTATACCCGTAAACAAGTGCTCACTTTTAAAAGTGACGAAACGAAAGTGTGTGGTACTAGTCAGTATAATAGTTGAGTACAATTCTTTAGTAGTTTGACGATTTGATGCAACACATATATTAATCCACTAAAACACATTGTCATTGTTTGCTGTATCAAATAAATACAATATCCTCTATGTTGATATTGAAAAGGTGACAATGTGACCAAACAAGTATTTTCGCTAAAGTCTCATAAAGCAGCTATATATTTAATTACAATATTTCATTCTGTGAAACACAAAAACATTGAGTGTTCACATGATCGCGGTGACTGAAAACCATCTTCGCAATTAATTAACCCTAGTAATAAGATTGTTATGATAATTATCTTACAGGATCTCGTGTAATTAGTCGATGAAAGAATCAGTAAATGTACAAATAATCAACTACAATTACAAAAGACAGACATCAGCAAAGGATTTTCAGTGAACGTTCAACAAGGTAGAAGTAGAAACATGAAAGTGAAAGCAAAAGTGAAAAATGGTAAGCCAAATCAGTGTAAAAAGTGGAAAACACACCGGCTACTATGCACATGAATCTCACGACTTACAAAAGGATCTATAAGATGTTTCTACACACAAACGCAACTTCACAACTTCAATTGCGGAAGATTAAACAGGTTAAAGTAGATGTGTTCTCAGTGTTGGTGACGTTAATTTTAGCGTCTTTTGCATCACTGCAAAACCAGATTTAGTTTCTGTGTCTGTCTGTAACCTTCCGCATTTCCTGTTTCCTTAGATATAAAGCAAGATTTTCTTCGTACGTTCTGACATAATTCTCATAGTACACATCAGACAACTGACTCCATGAAAGCCACTGAAATTATAAATCACATTTCTTTCAGATTTGTAAGTTAGATACATCTGCTGTTAATAGTTTTCAACGCGGTGAATCCTTATTGATGACATTCAGGTCTTATTTGCGGTATCTTTGATGAGGACAATTACCCTATGTTAAAGGTTTATGAATACCTAATTTTTCACACACAGAGATCAATGGCTTGTTCACTGTCGTTGTCACATCCTCCATAATGAAATTCTTGTGTGTCTATTTTGTGTCTAAGTACTCATCAGATTCAGTAAATGTCATCAATCAGTTGTGACAATGAAGCATATTCTCACTACCCGGTCAAACAAATGTGTAGCCGAATTCGTTTACTGCTTAGTAAAACAAAACTACTGAAATGTGCATAATATGCAGTCTGATCCATTCAGTAATATTGAGTCACACAACTTTTTGACCTATCGCCACTTCACCTTTCTTATGACTGCCATTCGTCAAGACAAGTCTTGATTTTCGGTCTAAACTGAATTCCATCAGCATATTTTAGGAAAAATTGTTGTTAAGTAAATTTAATGTTTATATATGCCATAGTACTTCTTGAAAACGTTGCCATTTGAAACGATGACTCTTCAATGAATGTTTCTTCTTTCACTTGAATATGGTTTATCGTAAATACTTCTGATTACTAACTTATCTTATCAGGTTACAAATACATGAGATAAGCATGAAATTTCATTGAGATTTCCAACTTCATGGGAGAATTTTATCTTCTGTTTCAATCCATTACAATTCATCATCACCCCATCTAACTTCATATTTTTATCAGCTTGAACAAAAGCATCATCTCTGTATATGCAGTAAGTGCCCACTGACTTTTTGTATACCTCCAGAATACCGTTTTCTAACTGTGACATCAACAAGTCGGTAGACAGTGATTCTAGTGATAAACTAACTCTAAATCAGTCTGCTGGTCTGTACAGGTGGTTCCTGAAAAGAAATTTATCACCGAACGTACACCGTAACCACACATCATTCAATTCGCTTACGCCTCACTTAATGTTAAGTTTATTTTTTATGATAATTTCCGATGAACAATCGACCGCTTACAAAAACGGAACATTCGTAAACAGTTACGCAACATCGAGGGGCAACACCACTTCGTTCAGCATATTTTCCTATCCAACTACATCTACAAAGTAGATAAACAAACTAAAAGCCAGTTAGTCGTAATAAACTTAAATCATCTACCGCTGGTCTCTTAGTTTGTCCGGTAAAGACCGAGTGCATTTTGTCAGGAATAACAAATATCGGAAAAGAAAGTGAGAAACTTAGAGACTTAATTATTTATCTTTGTGACAGAATCATTTAAACACTGTGTCTTCCTCAGCTGCTTGCATGTTACTGTAAGCCATAGGTCATAAAATCACGTCATATACTAATCCATTACTGAAAGTACCGACAGCTTACTGTGGGATGGGATGATGGTAAGCTTTGAAGTATCAAATTTGAATATAAAATAAGACAGCAAAGTCCAGAGATAGTAAGGTAGGTTTAGAATAGATTATACAACGTAGACAACACAACCAGGAATATATACAAGTGTAGAGGGAAAAACAAGGTTCCATTAGATGTAATGACAATGCCTCTTGAGTTTCAACTTATCAGTGTATTCTTTTCATTAAATTATGTTGAATGTAAGCACGCTCGTCATTCAGTCTGAGTTCCTACATATGTTCTTCCATAACTTGATACGGTTGGCAGCTTTTTCGGGAAAACTATTGATTTCCATATTGCTTTTATTTATTTTCCTTATTATTACCCGAATAACGTTTTGGACGTAGTTTATCGCCAATGGCCATCTCAAAGAAGCCGAGAAACCTTCAAAATATAACAACTTAGTGAAGATCTAGAACCTCCATGTCTCCTGTAATCTTTCTTGCCAAAAACTTGTTAAAAAAGTTTCCAAGGACCGTAAGCACTAAAATCAATACTGTTACAGAAGTATTTAGCGGGATCTTCTCTAGGTCGAAGAAGTAAACAAAATCTTTTTTCCATAGATCCCATATGAAGTACAAATCTCCAAGGGTATTAGGATTCATAAGCAAATCGGTTGTAATACTGTGGTCTGCAGGATCCTGATGATGGCTACTGATGATAAAATGACAAACGACAACATGCTGCCTAAGGTACATGAGATGTGTTACTCGAACACATGTGCTCAATCTTCGTGGTCATTCATCGATCCGATAAATAGAAAGGAATCATTCAGTGATAAGAAATGAAAATCACAAAACCCTTAGGGTTCCAATCGGTCGGTTTTTAAGAGCCATCATGCATCAGAGTTATGCATGCAAGTTAGGTTACTCCTAAAGCACCATAAAGACATGTTGCATAGATGCATATAGTTTCAGAAGTAAGGTGAATGTCTTAGTCTTCAGCGAATAGGTGAAGTCGTAAATACATAGTGACGCAGAAACATGATCTATGAATGGCAAGGATGCTGATCCAATCCCTTTGGAAAATGTAGCTGATCAAACTAATGATATCATGATCTCTGAAAACAGAAGTGTTGCTGACCGCATTACAGACACACAACAAAGGGAAATGTGAGGAAGGTATTTGTAAAGACACAGATAAGTCTAGGGTAATATACTGTAGACCAACATTTTTCACCTATTAGGGAAACAGATCCGATCACTTTCGCCTCAGATGTGCCCGAATAAGTTAGTTAAAACTCATACTAACAAGTTGATGCAGTTTTTCTTACAACAATCTGTGTCCACTAGTCTTGAGTACGGTGCAATGAAGAGGAAAAATATTTGACAGCTTTTCATCTCAAACACTGGTCTCACCTTCGTATCCTAGCAATCATACACCATTAGAATATTATTATCGATCAAGAAACCAAAATTCATCTATATAAATCGTGTTATACTGACTTTTAGGTTCAAACACAAAGCCTAGTTTATGGTTCCATTCTTTCTGACTCCAAATACGGCGTAATCCTAATAAAGTCCGTAGACATATACATAACTCAATGGTGATTAAGATACTAAAACCAACCCAAAATTTAGTTTCGCCTAAAAATGTTTGATATTAAAAGTAACGAGCTAAAACAAGAGGGAATTATTTAAAAATCCCTGTTGTTTAGATCAAGTAGGTAGTTTGACACTCCTGAATCTGCTCCAAAGGACTACTTCCTTAGATTGAGTGAAAAACTCAAAGAAGCGACGAGGTCTTCCTTGCGTTAGACCTTGAAAAAGTGTTAGTGAGATATGACTCAAATAAGATGAAGGGCGAATTACACTTCATTACTAAAATTTCTCCGTTAGCCCACGGTAAGACCAATTATTCGTCGACCCTCTGATAGATCCAGTGAGCAATAAACCGGACATTCCGAAGAGTAAGGCTGGACTTAATACACAGGTACCTAGTCAGAGTAAAATATAATTCAACTGGTCTGTTACCCTTATCAAGGAAACCCAACTAAACAGTTGATAAGTCATGAGTGCTATACTTTTGCACTCGATTAGTGGAACTATCGACATGCATTGTGTCAAGGGTGTTGTATTTTGCCTTGGGGATTGTGGATAAAAAGGGTCTACTTCTACTTCTTCCACACGCTACCACAAAAATACACAATCATTGAAGAAACGTAGAGCAGACTTTTCGAGAGCTTCAATGAGAATACATACATTCACAGCATTTTCTTCCGCATACTCATGGCCTCACTCAGAGGAGGGGGAAACAAACAGCTGGGAACACGTACGATATTTTTGAGGCTCAGTTACCCTCAGCATTGACCCAAAATGATGTAGGAGTCACAGTACGTTATGATCTGAATAAAACAGCATGCTATCGACTGGCCGCAGATTGGATTTTCGGGATACTTTTGGCACTGTGAGGAAGTTTCAAGAAAATAAGTGGTGACATGTCCACCATACTCAGTTAGGCGCAAACTAGAAAACTATGAGTGTGCCCCAAACCCTTGTCTAAAAGGTGACTCAGACCCCTGAAAGAGTTCAGATGAGAGCCCACGTATGATCTCAGCGACAGCTAGCCTGACCTCAGAAAAGTCACTGCATCAAATAAATTTTTATCCCATAGTAGACAGATAAGAGATCTTGTAGTGCACCTCTCTGACACCAAGATGCAACTAGGGCTAAAATAAATAGAATAAATTGAATTAACCGAGTTCTAACTAAACAAACTTCCAGCTTGCCTTCGGATACTTAAGATTTTCCTAGTTTTGTTTTAATGATCATGCATCCCATCAGGCTTCGACTTCACTTTGCGTTCCCTTCATGCCGGCTAAGAAGTGCATTTCCAAAGACCTTAGTCTAGCCATACTAGCCAGATAAGTTGGATAAACGTTTCCACTTATAACCACTGTCACACTTATTTTATTTAAATATATCGCTCCCTCGAATATATTCCTGAATACCACTCCTTTTAATTTGCGTTCCACTACCAGTACTAACACGTTAGGTAAGGTACTGATTAAGTAGGCACTAGAGCACATTGAACTAAGTAGGGCTGGTCAATCACTGCATAAAAGTAGCACATCTAGCTTCCCTACAATCTAATCATGATAAACAGGATTTTAGAAAATGGCTTTGGACCTGGTCTACCTTCTATTTTCCTTTCTTTTAGGCTGGAATGCACGACAGAATATGGTGGGAGTAAACAAAAGCAAAGGATTAGTGTGGTCTTTGCAGAGTACTGGTTCTCATATCGAGTAATCAACTCCTGAAACCGACCTGCAGAAGAGTCGGTGTTTATTTCATCAACTGATTTATTCAAAAAAAGACTAGACAGGTACAAAGATCCGCCGGAAAGGGATTTATGTAGGCTCATAGCCTTCTGGGCTTGAGCTAAAAAATGAATCTGAGTACTTTATTCAGGCAGCTTGCCAGCACTTTAGAGAAGAAACCGATTTATTTGAGTGTTCAGAAGATAAGTAATATGCTGATACCTAGTCTCTCCAACCCTCACTCTAGGATGATTGGCTAGATGTCGTGAACGCCTTTCTTTCAATTATGACTTTAGTTTTGATGTCTTAACTTTTCTTTGATCTAATGGAGAACATCTGTAGCCCGGGTGGTTGGTATTAGTTGTGTTGAATTGTCCCATCTTTAAAAATCAACCATGAAGTTATTGCTTTTGATATCTAGGAAAGTGATGAAAGCCTCAAGATTAAGCCATCCAGCTCAGAGAAGGCAAAAAATAATATCCTTTCTCTCCCTCTGCGACGTCGTATGCAAATTAGACATTATAACAGTTAGCACATATTCAGTATATGTGTATGTTTTGTTGCAGTATTCGCGGTGTATAACCGTTTGTTTGATTCCATAGTACAATAATCTTCACAGAAATTAAACTTTTGGGATAAGTGCTCAAAAGTTCCAAACTGCGACCGAAGTTGGCTTCGGAATTTACCCAAAAATGTCAAAGTGCATCCAAATTGTTTGCCGGCGGAGACCCATTTTCACATGAGACATGGGTACGAATCCACTGTCAAATAAAATCTTGGCAAAATTGTATTTACATGGCAAAATCTTTTCTTTCAGTAAGGATATTCAAGAAGAGATTGGATCTTTATAGATATGCCTATTACGTACCGAATAGCTTACTATACGTATTACTGCAGACTGCCTACCTCATTCTAGCTTACGTTCAAAAACTGAATATGCGCCTTACTTGTGGAAGATATAGTGTTTTCTCACTTCTCATATAAGGATATAAACGTGTAAATAACTGGAATCCGCCTGAACAAAAAATTATTTCATGTCCAATTTATCAAATCAGAGGACAAACCTTCAAGCACCTTCACTATTTCTCGGCTACCATTATCATACAAAAATTCTGCAGCCTTTACAACATCGCCTTAAAGTTAAAGTTTTACACATTAATGAAAATGCAGACAAACTAGTGCATTCCAGAGACGACGTGCTTCCATCATATACTATGACACTCCACCTACAATCAAGCTCCGCTTCATAAGGACACCTAAAGTCATTATCTGGTGTCTATGTGAGCAGTTAAAATTTTTGTCATCAGTACTCGTTTAAGCCTTCTGGCTGTCACTATGTGTGACTTATCATAGTCCTCTTCAGTTCGTGAATCTTCATGAAACTCATCAGCATAACAAGAATTATTTACCGAAAAGAACAATATAACAGGGATCGCTCACAAAAGCATGTGTTAAACACTGATTTAAGACATTGTATAGCTCGGTTGGCTTGATCAGCTCGAATTTTACCATTTCAAAATGACGCGTTTCAAAAGCTATGACTACCGTGGGCCAATATCCAAAATCCATTGTTACTAGCTTGTGTACATTAGTTGATTTTTTCTCTTTCTCTTACTCACCTCCGGGGAATTTTCTATGTATTGATGGATTCTAGCGTAAGAGATTGAGTAGCACACCTACTATGGTTTTAATAAATCCAGTGGGTAGTTTGAGTTCAAATGGTTCAAATAGTGTTTGATGAAGCAAAAGTGGTTTTCACTTAGTCGGCCTCTGTTTCTAGAGTGAGTGGATCACTAGGCCTATTGTTTGTTAACCTATCGACAAAAGGTAAAAAGGGAAACAGGTGGCGGTTAAAATATGAAAACCGAGCTGGTTTTCAGTGGCTTCTAGCTTGCATCTGCAGTATGCGTCAAGTCAGCTTCTTGTGAGTTCAGACGAAGCGGCCTGAGCCACTTCCACATGGGGTGAGCATCAGAATTTAACAAATCTAGGGGAGTGGAAGATGTGCCTGATATTTAACCTACTATGTTCTAGGATTTGTTTCTGCTTGTGTCCACTAAGATTCGCTAGGTGACAAAGAGGGTGTCTAAAGTTGTCTGAGATGTTGTGAGCCACTATCGAGTTCCCTCTAGTCTTCTATATTCCACAGGATGTAGGTCAACCACGACCGGTAATTCTTCGTTCGTTTTAGACGCAAGTCCTCGAATAAATTTAGTTGACCGCCTGTGGAGGAGTTCCAAGCCTTACTTGTTTCTCTGCAGAGGCGCGGGAAGGCCATAATCCTGAAATCTAGGTGAGGTATTATGGTGCTGTGAAAAGACTGGTGGAAACATCTACGATCGAACTGTGCGGAAATTCGTTTGGTAGTTATTAACTACAAGTTTCCTCAAAATTCGTTTCTGTCAGAGTTGGCCTAGGATTTTAAGTTTTGAGAGAGTTAAGTGCTTAAGTCCTTCTTCGCCTGCAATGCTTCTGTCTCCAGGCCGTTGCAACTACACACATGACATGGATCATGTTTTGGATGCACAGCGTTGCGTTTTTCCGTATTATATGTGAGCCCACTATTAGCCGCTTAGTTTTGGAGTTGGGTTAAGTCTCTTTGTAGGGAGATACTACTTTTCTGAATTCCGATTTCCAGTACGCAGTATCTTTTTACTAACGAGCTTATTCCGGCCAGCTTTAGGGGACGTCTAACGGGGAAATATAAGGTTGAGTCAAGTTCGTGATGAAGGCGGCGGTGCTGTTTCGATGTACGGACTTGGTGAACTGTATCAACCTTGCCTGAGTGCCAGATGCATAGGCGCGAAAAGTGCATCACTACGCGGCTGCCAAACCCGTTTTTGAAACAGTAGCAATTTCCATAGGCAGAACATTCTGGTTGCCCCAAACTCCCAGGGAGAAGCGGGTGAACGCACACAGAATTTCTACCCCTGGTGGTCGATTTTCCCTCGGTTACCACGAACAGTGCAATAATGGCAGTTCGATAGGATTCCAATGTTTGAATGACTCGGATTATTGTTATTATTTTTCCCTTGGATTCCCGGTGATACATATGGCTTCAGTAGCACGTGGCCATTGCACCCTGTTCTCTGTAGTCTTTTGAGCCTGGCTCTGCGTCTGCCCAGAAGCTTTCACGTCCCCCTCACACTATCTCCTCCATGTCAACCCCGGATGCCGAAATCGGGGGACAGGTTCTTGGTTGATTCGTTACTAGCCATCCAGGGTTCGTCGTTGCTTATTCATCCTGGGCATCCCTTCTTCAATATACGTGATAGGTAGCTGTTGATGAACGTCTGTAGCTTGTAGGAAATGCTTTCCGTGATGCTCAAAGTTCCCAGGCAATATGCAAGCACTGAAATGAAAAATTTATTACTGAAAATCTGGGTAAGGTACACGCTTCAAGCCGACAGCAGTGGGTGATACTAATGATCATAATACAAACAAAAAGAATAAAATATTCCTGAATTCACAGGTGTATATCATTTTTACAGGTACGGTTATAACAATTAGTGGTGCAAAATCTCCGGTAATTCCTTCTTTTTCTTAAAAATTTTCTCCATCTTTTCATTCCAAGTAGTGGAAATCCCTAGTCTGAAGAAAAAAGAAAACTTCACACTATATTTGGATGGTGCACTTTAATCTAAATTTGGAATCTTTGTTGTTTTTATCTTACCTGGCAGAAATGAAAGTCATGTCCAATAAATATGTAAAAGCATCACTCAAAAGGGAGAGGAGGTAACTCAGCAATTTCTTTCTCGAAAAAAGTAATACTGGCTAAATTACTCAAGTGCATCAATTTGAAGGATCATATACAGTGAGCGAAGCACGACAGCAGATTCAATGTGTTTTTCAAACGACATCCATCTCCAGGTTCATTGAGTCGTCAAGATATACTGTATAGACAACAGTAAACAACACTGATAACAATATACCACCTTCCTGATGAAACGATCCACTTTTGTTTGTTCATGCTAGGTTGAACATATGATCACAGCAGCCGCCATGTTCCTCTGCATTGCGCTTAGCTCGGTGAATATTGTCCAAATTCCTTTCTGTTTCGAGGTCGAGTCAAAGAATCCGCTTCTGTAGATGAAGTTGCAAGTATTTTTCTGCATTTTTGCATGCCGTTTGCAGCTGCAGTGGACAAAATGGTGCCAGTCAATAAAACACTGGGTTAAAACATCTCCAGAGGCTTCAGGGAAGTATCTTCATGTGATGCCATAAGGGTGTTCGTAACAGGTCGCACCATTGCATAGGAGTTGTTTGAAGGCGGATGCAGTGATACTTGAGGAAAGTACTGATGAAATATTGTAATTCCAATGTAATTGCAGGTTTCCAAGATTCTATTTACAATGAGAAGAGCGAAAACAGAGAGTGGGGTACCAAGGTACAAGGAAGTTAATTATATGTTTATTTTAGCTTATTTACCCGCAGAATTATTTCATCTGGTGTACTGAATGAAAATGATAATGCGTATATATCTAGTACTACTCCTAATTTGTTAACCAACACAAATCTGCTTTGATACAATATGGACAGCATAAACAGTTGACGGAGGAACGGTCGGAAGCAATTTTACTTCACAACCGCAATCCGGGACTCGAAGCCAAGGTTTTTTAGGCATAATCACGCAGCGTGTCGATGCGGGCCACTAACACAGGACCAAAGAAGTAGCAAAAATGCTAATCATGGACTTTGCACTGCTTACAACCGGTAGATGAGCCATCTTCGGTCTCAAAATTACTACGTCCCTGACAGCGCATATATGCAGGCTATTTTTTTCACTACCCGCCTCTCCTACCGCCGAACTCATCTGATGCGTCGATGATGACACCACAACTAGTAGCGAAGCCTGCAATAAGGTATATGCCGAACGGCGCCACCTTCCCCCAACATATTTACCAGTGACAGCAATAAGCAGAACACCTACCACTCGTATGCAGCACAACTTGAAAAGTGGTAGGGAAAACTGCGGTATATATCAGCACAGCGATAAAGCAATGGCAAGCAATAACCTCACTTGTCTCCTTTCATTCTCTCAATACCCCCTGTATCTTACAGTACTAGTCATAAACGCGAGATCCATAGTGAGAAAAATACCAGCCTTTCGAACCCTAGTAATCCTAAAACAGCCGACACTGGTTCTGCTTACAGAGACCTGGCTAACTCTAGATATATCAGACGCAGACACTACAATCGATGGATACAGAGTATACAGACAGGACAGAGCCTATACAAAAGGAGGCGGATGTCTTATCTATGCGTCAAGCACTATCATTACTGATACCTACTCAAATCCTGAACTAGATAAAACTCCAGAGCGTGCATAGATAAGCGCAACCATCAGTGGACACAAGCTCCCCATCGGATGTTTGTATGGGGTACCAAACACTTCCACAGCAGTTGGTGAGATCATCTGAGAAGCATTCCAGCGGGCAGCCACTCTAGACTTCGATTCTAAGATAACCTGTGGTGACCTCAACCTCCCTATAGTAGACTGGACAATTTGCACAGGTCCCACAAACCATGACAAACTCCTAGCAGCCATTGGCACAAGCGGTTGGGAGCAATACGTGCACTCCCTCACGCGAAATAATAACACCCTTGGCCTGATACTTTGTCACAACACCGCGCCACTGTCCATATAGATAGGAGAAAAATTTACAAACTGTGATCATAGCATACTGCTTTGCACTCTGCCACTTCGAGTTGCTCGCGAGGCCGCACAAGAAGTAACACCGAAATACTACTTATACAAGGACATCAAGAATGCTGACTGGGAGCTCCTCCAGAAGCTTATAAGATGCTCCAAGCGGTAATCTGTCTCAAACCCTCGACGAATTTTGCGAGATTATTAGTTCCGCTCAGGGAACAATTGCACCCACTAAGCTGGGCTTAAAAACAACTTTATATATGGATAGGAAAACTCGACGCAAACTGAGAAGACTAAGAAAAACTACTTTGTTTTAAAAGAATTTCATATTCTAAATCATATACATACAACATTCCTTTCACTTCAAGAAAGACACCGAATGAAAGCACTGGCTGAAGAGCGTAGGGCTCTTGACAGTCTGTCCAAAACACAAAACCTTTGCAGCATCCTGCGAAAGCGAAAAAATACAAGAGACTTTTTAATAAATCATTTAGAGCATAAAGGTATATGTTACCATGATCCGCAGGTGATTTGTGAACTTCTCAGTGAGTGGTTTCTTAATAGTGCCAACATGCCCCTAGCTCCAGACATCGAAATAACCGGTACAAGTAGTGGCACGATGGGTGGCACGGAATTCAGCGTGAGTAACATAAACGATGCCATTTAAGCCCTAAAAGCGAATGTTAGCTGCGAGGCAGACGAGATTTCGTCAGTAACCCATCGAAAGGCTGGCATGGATAAGGCAGTTTTATTACTCAAAATATTTACCCTCTCATTAGATTCTGGGACACATCCTGACAAGTGGAAAACTACTTATATACCACCAAAACATAAGTCAGGGGCCAAGACAAGCGTTAGCAATCACAGGCCAATTACCATAACCCTGGTCATCTCAAGGATTATGGAAAAGGTGATT